GTAGCTAGCTCTGTAGACTTTTGATATCCTTTCGTACAAGGCCTATAGGTGTCTATTCGAATCAAGGCTCTTTTGATGTCCCACGCACTCCCATATGCCTCTGAGTGACACTACTGCCGATACTGATCCGAGTAGCCTTGCCTGCGCCGTTACAACTATACTTTCTTTCTATCCTAAAGCTCTCTTAAAAAGATTCTTTTTAATAGTAAGATATAGCTAAGTAAGAAGCCTTTCTTATCTATATTATAGATATTATATAGCGCAACGTTATATTAATTAAGCTTAGTATAAAAGAGATTAAAATATAATTAATAGTTAGCTTAATTATTAGCTAGATAATAGTTATAGTTAATACTAGTAGATTTTTTAGTAAATATTTTATTATAGTAACGTAATAAAAACTAAGTAACCTAGCTATTAGAGGGCTTCTATACTATAATAACTACTATATAATTTTTTACTATAGCTTAAGAAGGTAGTAGGCTACGTTCTAAGAGTTTTTCTATATATTTTATAATCTTAGATTCTTATAGTAGAGTAAGTAATTAGCGTTTTTTTATAGCTACTATTTATGACTATATTTTATTTTAGTGCTACTATATTAATATTATAAGCTTAATACTAAACTTTTTCGTAGCTACGCGATATAAAAGTTAATATTCTATATCTTATAAATTAATTACTATAATTATTTCTTTAATAGCTGTTATGGTGGTGGAGATATCACGTGTTGAAAATGATGGGTGGTTATTTTGATAGGGCGGCTGGTGTTGCATTGGCTGAACTGTTGCATTGGGTGAGCACGGACGGTAGTAAAACGCAAAACGCAGACGCAAAACGCGGAACCGAACAGGCCCTAAATCTACAAGTACTCACGTGATATAAGCACAGCAACGAGATAGGAAGACATATATCAACTCATGGCTAGTAATTATACCAAATCCCTTATTATAGATTTAGCATGTTCCGGCTAATTTAACGTAAGGAATCAGCTAACGCGTAGGAATGTTGGAATAAATAACTGATGAAGGGAATCGTCGCATACGTACAGATCTCTGAAATTAAGAAGAGTCGTTATTTCATTGTCTTCTTTATTCAGTCTACTACCTCTGCAGTCTCTCCACCTTAATATTAGGCACACTCTTTCCACTCATATTTTCACGGTCTACATATGTTTGGTTTCATTCATTTCATCTTCTAAGAGATACAGGGATCGATTTTACAATCTTGAGAGACTTGTCACTACTTCAGAATTATGTGTTTTACCTGCGGCTCAGCCAAGTGCCCAAAGCTACAGGATCATGAGGCTGCCTTTCTAGTGGGCCTTCATGCAGCGAACTTTGTTTTGTTGTAAATACTAGGCACGTTAGGGAGCCCTCTATGGTCCATGGAATGTATGTTGCCTCCAAGATAAGCAGGACACCTGAAACACAGGCACACTGCGCTATAGTATTCTGAACATCAGTAAGCAGAGTTAGCAGGTGGACACTTCGCTTGCCATATATGTAAATGGGGGGAAAGACCGGCATAGGAACATATCTTGTTTTAGAGTTCAGCCCGGAAAATGGGCTTCATTCCCGCTGTGATTTGGGATTTGTGCAAACACGAAGCGATTTAGGAAGACCTAGCGCGGAACTATGCTGCTATGCTTTAGTAAACACTACTATTGTCTTACTACTCAGTGAACGTACCCACTGCTATCGTCACTTCTCAACTTCAAAGAGATGCGAACTCTATATAGTAATTCTCTTTTTGCTCTGTATTTTCTCTCCAAGTCCTCTTTTCCATTTAGGCAATATCAAAGTCTCGGGAGAGTGGAATGATATGTAGGTGTCTTGGGTAGGGCTTCGAGAACAATACTAGCATCGTCGCGTCATGCTCACTCGCGGATGTGAACTCCATGAACCCAGTATTCGCACGGAAGATGCCAATAGAATAGTAGCCATGTAAATCATCCACTGCTTAGAATGAGCGTCGCGATGGCACGTTGAGCTTTGTCCAGACCCGAAACAAGCAGTTAAGTAGAGGCGCAATAGACTTAACAGTTGCCATGGAAGTCGACATATTGGTCGCGTGGCACATTGCGGTGGAACGGCCCAGGGGTGGTTTGGATTCAACATGAATTAATTTGTAAGATGGGTTGCTCAGGGACCAGGAGAGCGCATACTTTCACCTTTCTAAATCACAGGGCACACGGTGTGGTTGTGGGTGGTGCTTTGTGGCGATCACACATCCTCCTGCCGTTTCTGGTCGGCCCGAGGGTTCAACCACGTCATCTCCGAGATAAGTAAAACCGATAACGAAGAAAAGTCTTCATCACTTATTGCTTCAATGCTCCTCGATACACTTACCCGCTGCGACATGCTACCCTGCTAACAACAGCGACGCTGGAAGCGTCGTACAGACATCATTTCAATCCGCCATGTCCGTCAACGGGATAAGGCGCCGAAGCAACGCGCATAGCGAAGAAGAAATCATCCCCGGCACGCGCCGACTCTACGAGAGCGACCAAAACCTACCAGAAGACTCGTCGCTGGAAAAGTCGGGCAATATCCTCCTCGTACCCCAGCCCACGAACTCGCCCAACGATCCGCTGCGCTGGTCCCTGTGGCGCAAAGTCTGGCACTCGCTCCTCGTCCTGTACATGGTTGGCTTCACCGCAGCAACCTCGAATAACGCGGGATCTGGCTCCGACGGTGTTAATGAAGAGTATGGGATTAGCTATGATGTCTTCAATACTGGCGCTGGCGTGCTCTTCATTGGCATCGGCTACTGGGCTCTCTTGAGCTCTCCTCTGGTGCATTTATACGGGCGGAGGTTGGGCTATCTTGCCTCTCTTGTGCTCAACATCGGTGGCCTTATCTGGTATGCGCGTATCGATAGTGTCTCCGGTGTGGTGTGGAGTCAACTGTTTGTCGGAGCTGCCGAGTCGGTCGGCGAAGCTACTGCGCAACTGTCACTTCTCGATATCTGGTTTGAGCATCAGACCGGTAGTGTGCTTGGCATGTACACATTTGCGACGGCTATCGGCACCTATCTAGGCCCTTTAATCGGTGCCTACGTATCTGACAGACTCGGCTGGCGTTGGATCGGCTATGTCGGTGCTATTATATGCGGCGGCAGCCTTGTCGTCTTTTACTTTGGCTTAGAAGAAACTGAATTTTCGCGCGATCGTTACCTCGCCGGCAACAACGACCCTGCCCTCCTCGACGCCGAACAGCCTGTCGGTAAAAGCTCTTCGCATGACGCCAACGGCGGGAAATCCGCTCCGGACACGGCGCTTTCTTCTGTGGATCAGAAGAAGACATATTGGGAGCGTATCCGCATCATCACGCCAGCACCGAACCTGCGCGGAACTGGTTTTAAGCAGTATCTCAATCGTCTGTGGCACACACTCCGCGTCTTCACTTTCCCTGCTGTGTGGTATGCCGGACTGCAATGGGGCTTTCAGCAATCCTGTTTGACCTTTTATCTCACCCTACAAGAGGATACATGGTCCGGCGAACCGTGGAATTACGGGTCTGTTGCGGTGGGAAACATGAACATTCCCACTTTGATTGGCAGTCTTATTGGCTGTGCTTATGGAGGATATGGGAGCGATGCATTCATGCAGTGGATGATCAAGCGCAACAAAGGCGTTATGGAGGCTGAATACCGGCTGTATCTGATGGCACTTTGCACCCTGATCTTCCCTACCGGCCTTTGGCTGTTTGGCATCGGCACAGCCCGAGGTTGGGATTGGCCTGTGCCGTACATTGGGCTGGGTTTCATCGGTTTTGGCTATGGCTGCGCTGGTGACTTGAGCTTGTCGTACCTCGCAGACTCGTTCCCGTAGGTCCACCGTTGCTGAAATATCGAGGCCGCTGCTAACACTCCCAGTGATATGGTTCTTGAAGGCATGGTTGGCGTCGCAGTCATCAATAACACGCTTGCGATGGTGTTTACCTTCGTCGCCAGCTTTTGGATCGACTCCGGCCTGGAGAACTGCTTCATCGTGCTTGGCGTACTAGGTTTACTGGTTATGGGGTTGAGCCTACCTATGGCCATTTTCGGGAAGCGCACACGGAAGTGGGCAAGGAATCGGTACACAGCATTTGTCCAGATACGCGATGGATTCTCAAGATAGGATTTGATGTGAACTGTATGATTACCGCTAGTATATAAGCTAAACAAAGAGTCTTGCCATTAGCAGGGGGTATATATATGTGATAATAATACACGTAAACACCTACTACCACATTTTGAAAGTGAGTATCTAGTAAACTCCGGAACACTTGATTTACACGAGTGACTGTCCTCCCATAAACTATTTCTCAACTCGCCAAGCCGGGAATGCATTCTTTACGATGTGGCCACAACCTACAGTTTCAAGCAATCTTTGCAAGAAAAAAAAGCAGGATCAAGAGTTCGGCTCTTTTGAGGACTTGGAATGAAAACTCTCTACGCTTGGAAATACCAGAAGGCAGCCCAAAACCCGATGTTATGACAAAGGCCGGACCCACTTGACGAAGTTCATCACGGAAGGTGATCAATCCTCTGGGCCGAAGTTGTGAGCTCAGAAGAACAGCTGATGTCCTTTTCTGCCTCGGTGGATGCTCCATCGGTGAGCCAATGGATGACTACGTAGCCCCAGAATACTGTGTATCGGTTAGATATGGCTTCGGAGGGGGATGATAGCTGGCTCACCATCTACAAGGCAGATGGTACTGCAAACCAAAGCGACACCCTTCCCTTCAACACAAAAATATTGTATGATGAAAAGTACCAGGGTGACAAGCGTAATGGCAAGTGCTCCTATGATGCTCTTCTGCAGCAATGATCGAATGCTCCTTTGCACCGGCGTATCTCTACTTCCCTCTATTTCAACTATTCCTGCCCGCGTTTTACTGCTGCCACAGATAGTTGAAAAGCTCCAGTTCCCGTTCTGCTTGAGCACTGGCTGGAGAAGATAGAAGAAAACCACGGTGAGGGCAATGTCCATAACAATGTCGATGATCAAAAAAGGCACCGTGACCTTCCTTTGGATTCCCGTGTGACATCGCCCCGATTTAGGATCCATGACGGTGTAGGGATGAAGCCAGGCGTTGATGACGATACCGGCCGAGGCAGTCATCATGAACAGCATGCTCCCGATGTATACCCAATCGCGACTACGAGTGACATATGGTGCGCGAACAACATGAATGCGCTCGACAAGGAAGATATAGCTGTAGACATTTTTAGTGAAAGTTCCTGCCAAGGTTGGTAATATGAAGCTGACATTACGCTTTTTGTCATCGCGTAGAGGATGAGACAAACCCAGGTAGTTGCAAGGCAAAGGTCGTAGGTATACAGCCCTTGGCCACTGTGCAAAACCAATAGAACGGTTACGAACATCATAAGCAGGATATATAGGAGAAGCACAAGCGTGAAAGTCATATTTCGTTTCATACCGGCATTGCGTCTTAACCGATTGAAGCGTGAGCCTACAATTGCGTCAGTAGAGTAGCTGCGATTGCGAATCCCAGATACCAACCGAGTAGAAGCGAAGACATCGTCACGATAGCTAGAGACAGTAGGATAAACAGCGTCCGATCCACTGGCCTCTCCCCTGCATATGTCCGAGGCCCGTCGCCCCCGCTAGCCCTCGGTTCCTTGGCCGCATCGAACATTTGTGTCCCAATGAGCGACATGGCGACTCTCGTATTGAAGGTGAGCAGCTCATTTGAGAGTTAAGGTGTCCAAGAGGTCTAAATGAAACTGCCATATGCAAGTTCGCCCAGCCACCAAGGAATAATGAAAGTCCTAGCTGCAGTGATTCAAAAGATAGCATAGCGAATGTGCATTAGCAAATACGGCACAAAGTTTGAGGCTGACCCATGGTAATGAAGGAAATGGCACATTGGGTAGTAAGGAAATGGGGTCACATCAGATTGCCCTCTCCCTGTTTGCAGATCACCCCTTTTACGTGGCGATTTTTTTTAGCTTGTAGTTGATAGCCCGTTTCCCTTTTCCGATCACTCGTCATTGGTCCGCTGGAGGCTCTCCCAAGGACGCGCACGCCAACCGATGTGTCTAGGTCCAGTAATATAACGATAGCGGGGGGCGTGCGGAGAAAGTGGCGGTGGCGCACGGCATGTGCTTAGTGGATGCTCGAGGGGCACCCAACCGGAGGCGGACTCAAAGGGGAAAAGTAAGGTGAGTGTGGCCTGGATATGATATTGGTGTTTGGAGAATACGGGTCGGATGTACATAACAAGTAACACCTCGATTGGTATGTGTGGATTGATCTGCCTGCCTGCCTGTCTACACTCAACTTCAATGTGTTTCACTTGAAGCCGCGTACCCCACCCAACCAAAATCAACGCTACGGACGCACCTCTGCGAACACCATTGTTTAGTGTGTATCGCGCACCTGCTTAGCAAATATCTGCCGGAGAGTGGGGATAGGTTTTGAATAGCTTTTGTTTTTTTCTCTTCTACCTCCAGTTGATTCGATACTTATCCCATCTATTACTCGAAATCTCCTTCCTTATGGAGGGCGGAAAGGCATGTTGAACGAGTGTGTGTTTAGTTGCTATGGAGAATAACACCAGTAACAAGTAAAGCCGTTTCACTACGCCCACTTCCATACTCTTACTTGCTCACTTGCGGGTATTACGCAAAGTTATATGTGAAGAGAGGCACAGCCCTTTACACAGAGGGCGTTCGGTCCGGCACACTTTGTATCTTTTGCTTTACATTCTGGCATCAATATTCCGTTCTAATGTCAGTACCATCGGAGATATCACCGTCTTGGAGCGGTATCAGTCATATGATGGTTACCCCGAGTTGGTCATCACCTTCTGACGTAAACGCACGTTGGCTTCCCAATGATGAAACTTCTTACAAGGTTCGGCTGGTTACGTTCGTTCCTTAGTCCCGTTGAAATAAACTACACCGTGTCCGCAAATGCATTTTTTGCTACCAACAATGACCAGGTGGTTAAAAGGTACTTCGCTGACTAAAAGCATCCTTAGCATTATTAAAGTCATTTTTGGGGACTGCGACCTCGGTGGCAATCTTGTGAAGTCTAGAAAAACATGGAGGTTGTAGTTGGCTTCGTCCTTCTTATCATGAAAAGTTATGGCTCCAAACAACGCTGACTGCCTGGGCAAAGGACGTTTGCTGACATGTTGTAATGCCTAGATGACTAGCAGCGGATATCATCTGTCTCGGGATACTTGCCATTACCTCTCTTACTACCATTATCATCATTGCCCCTACTGCTATTGCTAATAATCTATTTTCGTTTGAGTTGGCCGTAGAGTATGTGAAGAGCAGTTGCACCGATTCGATCATTTGTTTGCAGCCTTCTAAGTTGGGTGTGAATCCAGAAATATACTCAATCTTGTTATGCAATGGGTGAGCATAAATTACGGTATAGCATTCCAATTTTCTGTAATCGCAAAACAACTCTGAACTTAGGGTTCTGATACTATGTCTCAAGATCCGCATGCTCTACTGCTAATAATCTTCCTGCGAGCTCAAGCCTTAGTTCAGCCTCATGGGTTTGGAGATACTCGCCTTTTCCAGTAACGAACCAAAAAACCACTGATATGACGAGCATCACGCCGAACACTGCAATAGCCCAGTTCATATCAGATATGCTAGGATCGGGTGTCCCTGGAAAGAAGAAGAATACTGTAGTCACCGCACAGTAAATCACGCCGACCCAATTAAGGAGCGACCCCAGTCTACCAAGCTTGAATGTTCCTCCGAAGGGGAGATTGTCCCGCCCGACAACCAAGAGACAGGCGATTGGTATACCATAAGATATGGTTAATGCAATCGTGCTTACACTCAAAATAGCCGTGAGAACTGTCGAGGCAAAGAAGTAAAGTACGCCAACAAGGCCAATGATAACGCCTTGCAGCCACTGCGCTCGTACAGGACCCATCCAGGTTGAGTCAATCTGGGAAAAGTAGCTGCTGAATGGAAGTCCACCGTCCCGAGCGAACCCCCAAGTCAAGCGACCGCCGGTAGTTGCGAGGCTTACACCTTGACCCAGTCCGTTGACTATGAACAATATCATGAGAGTGGCTCCGCCCTTTAGTCCGACCGTCTGACGGACAAGTTCGATAAACGGCAGCCCAGTTGGCCCATCGATAACGAGATCAAGATCCTGGACACAAAACAGACAGACCACCATGAAGATGAACCCGCTAATTGCGCCACATACAATGGCTAGCCAGATGACTTTTGGTCCGTTTGATCTCGGGGCTGGGATTTCTTCGATCACTGTAAAAGTCTGTTAGCCCACCATGCCAACCCGATAATGGCTGAAATACTTACTGTGAATCGTCGAATCGAACGCTGTCAATCCATAAGCCGCTTGCAACAGCCCTAAAAACCATACAACCCCATCACCCCATCCTGTCTTGTTCTCCCAATCTCCGAACACAAACTTCGGAGACTGATACTCCATCCCGTCTTTTACGCCCACCGAAATCAAAAGCGCCAACATAATAGCGAAGAAAAGTCCGACAAACCAAACACCAACACCGTCATTGAAAATTGCCAGAAATCTATTACTCCGGCATGCTGCAACATTTACTACTGTAAAAAGCGACGCAACACCCAAGTAAACCATGAAGTTGACCCACGCTTTCCCTGCGCCATCCCATTCTGGATCAAACATAACTTTCATCCCCAACAAAAACTCTGTCATGAACGCTACTTGGCTCGCAGTCAACGTCCACCAGCCAAATGTATTTATCCACGCCGTCATGTATGACAAAAACCGCCCAGCCTTGTGTTTCTCAAGTAGGCGATGGACCCAATACGCTTGCCCCAGAGCGGTGGGCATGGAAGAGCACAGTTCTCCGAGAGACAGGCCTACGCAAATGTTGCAGGTGAAAACTAGGACCAGACCCCAGAGAATTGCCACGGGGCCGCCGTTGGTCAGGCCTGAGCTGAGGCCTTGTGCAAAGGTTGCGTAGGTTCCGAGGATACAGAAGGACATGGCGAGCATGGAGACGAAGTCGAATTTAAGGGTTAGGGATGCTTGGTGGTAGGATGACGAGGTGCCGATCTCGATAGCATTGTTGGTGGAGGTTGTGGAAGCCCGGCGGGCAGGCCCTTTGGTGGATTTCGTGGAATCCATAGTTGCTATACCCATAACTAACGCACTCTTTCGTTTATACCTTATATGTTTGTAACTTTCTGAGGGTTGAGTAGTCTCACACAAGGTCTTGCTTAACGAGATGTGAGGCCTTTAGTGTAGAGAGCAAGTAGATCCAGTCCGCCGGGGGCTTTTATTTAGCAGAATACGTGCGCTATAAGGGGCGCGGCCGAAGCGAGAACATTAATTGAAGTGCAGGTTGAAGAGAAGAGAGCAAACGCTTTGTCGCGTAGTTCTCCTGTCAACAAAACGGGGTCTCGCAAGCAAATAACGAAGATAGATATACACACTAGCTCTCCACCCTGCCCTTAACCCTGATCGGAACTTATCTCTGCGGAGAGGGCAAGATTGGCGCTATCAAGACGGGATGAGATATCACGGGGCAAGGATAAGAATCTGCAGCATGTACCCCAGTTCTTGGGGGACTGAGATAGCCGAATCAGAATCAAAACCACCCCTCCCACAATAATGCAACTACGCAATGAAGCTAACACCACTGATTTTCTATCTATTCAAAACGCAGAGACAGTTAGTACTTTACCTTGTAAGAACGCTCAAAATTCTACATAATTGCTGTACGGTCTATATAGTGATTCACGCTGTCATTTTGGTCATTGATGGGCGTAGTTGTTATCCGGCTATTTCAGTCCAGATAGTTCACTGGATCCGGCACTAGGCTCAGAATAGAAAGTCCATGCGCAATCAGCTCCAGCTTGCTTTACGATCCAGATAGAGACGGCACGGCCCAAAAACGAGTTCGAGGGCAAATTGTCCGTTTTATTGCCAAATCTAGGTATAACTCATGCTCACTTGGGCCATGCATGATTAGTTAAATTGGTTCCGATGGTCCGCTGGTTCACAAACTCGTCTCTTCACAGATTCCCAAGTCTCGGTGAGCTTGGCCACCTCAAAATGACCTCCCCGCCTCCTTGGCTACGACTGTTTGCATCTGCCTGTGTCCGTATCATGGTGTTGAAGAAATGTGCAGCAAGGCATCATGCAGAGCTCGTGTCGCATGATGCCTTGCTGCAAAGGTACGCTTCAGCCAATGACAAGGGACCCAAGCGGGGGGCAAATATGACTATCACTTGGTTGCTGACATTGTATATGGAGTAATACCTAGCCTCTCCCTCAAAATGCTTTAAAGCTTGGACTCCTTATTACAATTCCTTCCCATACCTGTCACTCCGAGGTTCGCTTATCATTCGTTAAGATTAAAAGATATTGAGCTCAAGTCTCGATGATGGCTTATGTGAGGCACCGATAAAGCTAGTTTCCTTCGGGGAAAAGTACTCGCCGGTAGCACGATACACAGTCGGTCAGCTAGCCTAAGCGGAATCCTCTTACACAAAGTAAACGTGTGACATCGATCTGTAGCCAGCCAATAATACCTGTGTGCACTATTGAGACATTGTGCTACCAGTCTACGATGACGTTGTTGCTGGGCCAGTCAGTCGCGCCGTTCAGCTGTCACACACAATTGTCTACTGAGAATTACATCTTATTCTT